TCCCTCTGATCGTGCTTGGTGAATTCCTGGATGAGTTTATTTAGTTTTTCGGTCTTTTTTTTCTTTCTTTTTTTCTTTTTTTTTTTTTTTTGCATGAAGATGGCGGCGCCTCTCGCCAGCAAAGCAGGGTCCGCCGGCACCAACAGCAAGCCTCCTTTCCCGGAGCTGGATTTCCGATCGGGAGCCAGGGTGGAGGAATTGAATAAACTCATCCAGGAATTCACCAAGCACGATCAGAGGGAGTACGACGATCAGCGAGCCCTGGAGATCCACACGGCGAAAGACTTCATCTTCTCCATGCTGGGTAGGGCAGGGACCGCGCGGGGCGGGGGCGATGCCGGCGGGACCTCGGCGCTGGGCGCTGGGCGCTGGGCTCCGGGCGGTGCGGCACCGCGGAGCGCGTCCCTGCCGCGGGGGCTCCGAGGGCCGCAGAGAGCGCCTCGCCTCCGGAACGCCGTTTCTCCCCACCCGCTCACCTACCCTTTAGCAGCGGTGTATTTATAAGCGGAGAGGAAAGGCTGGGTCGCAGAGCCGGCCGGTGTTGGAGAGTCACGACGAGCCCGCAGGGCTAGGGACGAAGCAAGCCCGAGCCTTTATTGTTTTTACCCCAACTATCAAGGATGTCGGAAACGCAGATTTATTTAACATGTTTATTTTTTAGGGGGTTATTAGACCGGTGCTTGTAGAGGAGCATCCTCTCAACTGCGTTTCTTGCTTGGGTTGCAAAACTTGCTGTGAGTGGAGCGAGTTGGATTTGGCTGGGAGTCCTCATCTGCGTGAAACTTTGCATCGCAGGCAGGGATCCTTAAAGAGGGGAGAAAAGGTGCTGGCCCTTGCAGGAACCACCTGGGCTCTGGCATGACTAAGGCTTATTAAGATCAGCAGAGGGATGACTAACAACTCTGATTCTCTAGGTGTTAATTTCCTGAAAAATATTTACGTTATTTTGACTAAGAAATCACTCGTGAATGAGAGCCTTTGGGGTACAAAAGGATGCTCTTTTATGCACAGGCTGGACTTTAAATCGGTCTGCCAGATGTGTCTCAGCATCCCAAACATTTCTGTGTATAAAATAAGAACGTGGTTAATTGGTAGGTGTGGGCAGGGAGTGGTTCTTTGTGGCTCAGAGGTACCCACAGACCCTTGAAGCCTGATGTCTGCAGTGAATAACCTGCATCACTTTTCTCATTTGGAAGCACAGAGCTATCCTATAATAATTGCTATTATCCTGCAATAATAATTATTTTGTGTATCATGGGGGTATCCTATCCCCCATAGAAATAGACACTTTCTCGATAGCCATGAGCATATCCATGCTCATTAAGTGAGCATCTACCCATCCAGCTGGTTATCTGGTAAGGTGCTCAGGTAATTGCTTGCTTTGGGATTTGCACAACTTTGTGTATGTACTGCTTTTTCACCAAGGGTTGGACAGGATACAACAGACTAAATTTAGCTTGAGAACAAGGACAACAAGTTGAAAAGTCAGTAGCATGTGTATTTATAGTTGCTGTTATAAATATTTTTCCCTTCCTGCTTTAAAAAAGCTATGTGGTGAAGCACTGGTTGCAACAAAGTCCATAGGATGTTTTGTAGTGAAAACCCCATTCAGTAGAGGTCATCCACTATTATAATCTGATACATTTTTCAATCAGGGTTTTAAATAACTGGCTGAGGAAGCAGGTCTGGACAAGATGAAGCGAAGGACAGAGAGCTGTAAGAACAGCAGTGTGTGGCTGGTTGGTAGTGAAGGCTTTATGTGGTCCTGCTAAAGCGCTGCTTGTCTTTGCAGGGGTCAGAGACCACAGCATGTTTTCCTGTCTCACTGGCAGGAAAAGGTAATAAAAGAAAGACAGGAGAACAGGTTGTAGTGTACCTTGCATTTCTGCAAGTGCACTCTGAGGTCTTGCTTTCATGAAAACAGAGCCTTAGTCTGTTAAAAATAACAGATTAATGTGGCTGTTCATTAATGTTACAGGGGGGAGATGAGCATTTAGTTTTAAGTGTCTGGACTAAAACTGGGTTTAAGCAGTAGCTATATTTCTGAGTTACGTCTCACAGTTAGCAATGCAACTTGCTGCTGAAAAAAAGGCAAGAGCTCAGAACCAAGCCCAGGACAGAAATGGAGATGGGGTGTCTGACTTGTCTGCTTTAGACACAGAAGCTGCGCTTGTAGATCAGACTCTTTTTAGCCAGAGAGGCTCTAAAATCCAAAATGATTGAACTTATTAATAAATAACTCTTTCCCCTGTGCCTGATCCCTCCCATACGTACTGCTCTTATCTCATCGGGCAATGATGGGAAAATTAAACGTAGCTTTCCTGATTTAATTACACTGGTGCATAATTTGTGGATGAATGATAGGCAAGAAGACTTTGCACAGATTCTCTGATGTTTGCACTCTGTGTCTTGCCCTCTAGCTCAGACATTTGCTTTCTTTTTATAGTAACTATATTTTTCTGTCTTACGCTGGCTCTTTGTGACAGAACTATAGGAGATCTCAAGAACTGTGCTATGATAAAATTAGGGAGGGGTGCTGCTTGCCATACCTTCATCCAAAATCTTGTGCCCCACATATCAGAATAGGGCTGTATATGACCTAGCTGTCTGGTGAGGGAATTGAGTATTTTCTGAATGCAGGCAATTCCTGGGCATCCCATACTTAATCACCAAGACCATATGGTCTTTCTGACACCCTCCACTGAAACAACAGGTGTCTTTTGGTGTCTGTGCTAGGTGACTTCCCTTGCACATGCTTAGCTGTGCCTGGTAATTACTTGCCTTCTCAGCACAGGTACGACTGAGCCTCAAAGGGGAAGGCTGTATTAATCGAGGAAAGGAGTGGAGGAAAGAGAGTGTTCTGCACGATGGGCTGGCTGGGATTGATGGGGAGACTGAGTCTCTGTCTGCCAGTTGTGAAAGGAGCTCATCACTTATTCTGACTTTGACTGCTTTTTCTGTGCTTAAGGAGTGATAAAGGAGTATTTTTATCGCACGATGATGTTGCTACCAATGATATTTGGATTTGTAAAGCATTTGCTGCAATTGTGATGAGTGGTGCATAGTACTGATATTGCAAAACCTCATAGAGGTGCCTGATCTTGAGAGCATTGTTCCTGCAGTACAAGTACTCCTGGAATCTTATTTAATAAAGAATACCTTTCTGTTCAGCACCTAAAAAAAAAAAAAGTGTTGTAAAGCACAGATGTTCTAGGCTTTAAAAAAAAGAAGAAAAAAAAAAGAAACATTATGCTCTTGGGAACAAGAACATTGCATATTAAACAGCGTCTTGATATTTCCAGTGCTATTGCTGCCTCACAGCCGCTCACTTTATTAGAGGTATTGACTCTTACATTTTACTTCTTAACGAGAGGAGCTGAGAAGAGTAGAGTGAGAGGGTATGGATAGATACAGACCACACAGAGCTGTTTCTTCTACTAAGGGCACACAGCGGTGTTCAGTTGCCTAGAACAGTTCTCCAGCCCTTTGTGCTGGTGTTTTATTTCCTACCATGAGACGACAACTTCTCTGTGGTGTCAGAACAGGGATGTTCAGGGAGCTTCGTGCCCTTCTCTTTCCTCTCAATGCCCTCTGTTCCTCAAGCCAGGGAAAAGACAGGTTCAAGCTGGCACAAATTGGCGTTTCTTTTTGAAGGCCCCTGGTGTATCTTTCTGTCATTTCAGTGGTTGCACATTACTTCTGTGGGACCAAAGCTGCCCACCTCAGAACAGCTCTCAGCTGCGGGCTGGCAGCCCGCTGCCACTTGGAGCTGTTGACAGGATAGAGAGTGAGCTCCCATCAGCACCTGATAGAGGAGAGTGGTGAGCCTGCTGAGTGTATTTCCTGGCTCCCCGCTCTGTGATTCTCCTTTTCAGTGGTGTTTTCCACAAGAGAGGTATTTCATGGCCTCTGTGGTACTGGAGGTCCGTGCATCAGAACAACATTGATAGTGTGACTGTGTCGCAGCAGTTTTTGGGACATGTTTTTTGCCTTTGCCCTCCTGGTATAACTTGATGGTGAAACCTCCTATTGTAGACTAGATTTCATGCACTGTTGGAATTGTAGACCTGCTTGTCTATGATAAATCAGAGAAATTCTCTGGTTTCTTTTGTGGCACTGAGCTGATGAAACAGCAACAAGATTGAAACGATCTCTCTAGGGTTAAGTCTTTTGTGTGCGCACACCTTTTCTCAAGAGAGGCCAATCATTATAGGAGCACACTGCACACTGAGGGCTATGTTAATAATGGCTCCCTGCTGGCATTCCCTGTGCTGCTGAATGCATAATGCACAGCTGTTAAAAACAGCCATACTGTATTGCAGATTTCATTTCTGGCTTCTGTTCGGTCCCCTTTCCCTGCAGATCATATGTTTCTGTACTTCTTTTGAGGCTGTATTTTCTTTGTTTTTTAAGGGACAGGGTGCTATGCTGGCAATGTGACCCTCACGAGGCATCAGTGTCTTCTGTTTGTCTATAACTATCAGAAGTCAACCAATTTCACCTAAGTTGAATTCTTTCTTTTGCTAGTTAGAAAGAATCCATAGAAACATAAAGGTTGGAAAAGACTTCTAAGATCATCTAGTCCAACCATCCACCTACCACCAACACTGCCCACTTAACCAAGTCCCTAAGTACCACATCCCCATGGTTCTTGACCACCTCCAGAGTCAGTGACTCCCCACCTCCCTGGCAGCATATGCCAGTGCATTGCCACTCTTTCTGAGAAGAAATTCTTCCTAATATCCAATCTGAACCTCCCCTGGCACAACTTAGGGCCATTCCCTCTTGTCCTATTGCTGTCACCTGTGAGAAGAAGCTAATCCCCACCTCGCCACAACTTCCTGTCAGAAAGTTGTAGAAAGTAATAAGGTCTCCTCTGAGCCTCCTCTTCTCCAGGCTGAACAATCTCAGTTCCCTCAGTTGCTCCCCATTTTGTTCCAGACCTTCACAGTTCTGTTGCCCCTCTCTGGGCACACTCCAGAGCCTCAATATCTTGTTTGTAGTGAGGGCCTATAACCCCTCTGTCTCTTTGTTCAAATGGGTTGCTCCCTGTGCGCAGTGAAAATAGCTTGAAAATGTTTCTCTTAATTTGTTTTAAGATGCTGGTAATTCACTTGCTCGACTACTGTTTTGAAACATTAGGCTGTGATGCAAAGTATTTAGTGCAATAGCAAGGAACATGTCCTAAGGGCACAAATTCTCATGGCAGGCTTGTCAGACTGCCCACCGCCTGTTCCTTCAGTCTGTGGAAATATTTGTAAAAGATTTGGGTGAATGCTTGCCAAGCCCAATTATGCAATTATG